TTATGTTAACTTATAAAGAAATCATGGAATATAGTTAGCATTATGCTAACATTAAGAGATCTCTCCTTAAGGCATGCTTTTAAGGATCTTAGAGATCATACAGTGTACTCTTTTGTACAATTTGGATGGTTTTCTCTCTTAAGTTGCGCATATATATTTTATTTTGAGAAACATCCCTTAAGGTACCAAGAATAAATGTTGGGTTTGTTCATAAATGATTCAAGTTTGGGAATAAAAAATGCATGTGATCATAGGAGATATTACTCACTTATTCAGTAGAGGACATATTACTATGGTTCGGGTGTTTTGTTCTTTGATGAGAGTTTGCTAGTAGTTGCACCAAGTGGGAGACTGTAAGACTTTCCCATATAATAATATATATTATATATTATGGGTCTTACTTATGTGGTGCAAGTGGACTAGGCCCATTAAGTAATTGGTTGGACTGGACATTTAGGTTTAAGTCCTATTCCACCAATGTGCCGATATAAAGCTTGTTTTGATGGGATACAAGATACATGATTCATTATATGGTATTCATGCTGCTCAGAAAATACTAGTACACCATCTAGGGTTCTGAGTCAAGTATGAGACAAAACGGCTAACCCTATTATGCAGATCTACTGTTCAAAGGCATACAACAGGATATCAACTATGACTGGAGATCTATAGTGCTTCCGCTTCCGCTACTACGAGTTAAGTTTCTCGTAGATTATTCTGTGTATAGTTAGATCATATTTAGATCTCACAATAACATATTAAACCCAGTGGCATTACATCCTTATTAATTTTAATCTCCACCCACTTCTGTAGCATGTTGTAAGTTAATTTCTTAAGAATTTGTATCTTTCATTTATTGAAGTTAAAGTCTGTGAATACAACCAATGCTCTGTTTAACTTGTAAGTGTAAAAAAATGTACACGTTAAAACTCATGTAAGTTGGCTTAAATTAGTTGTCAAAGCATTCAAAAAAATAAAAAAATTAGTTGTCAAAATTATTAGTGCGTGGTTAGGTTCTGGACTAGGTCAGCGGTTGAGTCTGGATCAACGCTAGGAAGTAAGTCAGAAGTGGTGAGGCTCATTCAAGGTTTAGTTCAGTAAAGACCCTATTTGCATGGTATTTTAAATCAAGAGATGCAACTGAAATTGAGGAGTTAAGGGCTACATTATTTTCGATGGAAGAGGTTTCTAAATGCCTCTATAAAATGCTACTTTGTTTAGCATTCATGTTGCGCACTCTCACAATCTAATCTATCAAATCTATTCCTCATACTGTGCTCTCAACATACACGAGTAAAGAATGTTCCTCAACTGGTTCATGGTGCGAAGAAAATAGCCTGCACGTCAAGTCCACGGTGGTGCTGGAATAGGCTCTGGAGTAGTTGTAGGTTATACTTTAGAGTGTAATGTACTCTCCTATTGTACTCATATTGTTCATCTGGTGGATTTGGGTTGACGTGAGTGGCCCCGCAGACGTAGGAGTGAGGCTCCGAACTACGTGAACATTTCCTGGTGCACGGTTCTATTTATTGATGTTATTATTAGTTCTTTATTCTGTCTGGAGAAGATCTTGGAGCTAGTCTAGTTTAATAAATGAATTAAGAATTTGTGTAGGAAGCTTAGGTTATTTTCTTGCATTCAAAATTCACGGGCTTTTTCAATTGGTATCAGAGCCTGGGACTTAAAATATTAGTCTAACCGACCTGGCTCTCTTGTTTCTTGAACTCAAGCTCTCGGTGGTGTTTGTTCTTTATTCTAATTTTATGGATAACCTTCTTCGGCTTACTGTGCACTGAGTCTTGCATAATGGAACGACATAGATCACCTCATGAATTAACAGGTGACAACTATGCTTACTAGAAGGCCCGTACCATTATGTAACTGTTGGCTTTCTTGGGGCAGTTGCGGGTCGAGTTGCTTGTCCCGTTAGTCTGTCACCAGCCCCCTACTCCCGAGTGTACGGGGGTGTTTGAGTTGGCTTGGGTGTAATAGTTGTATCAAAAATTTCTAAGTAACTTAGGAATTTAATCATTATGAGAATCTGGAATTCCTTTTTACAAATATATATACTTTTAGAACTGCCCACCCGTTCGGTTCTCGGATTACATAATTTGAATCATATCCATCTATTTTTAGAATGTAACCATTTGGATTTTGATATTTCGGGTTCGATCAGTTTAATATTAGATTTTGATTATATTCAGATTTATATTAAAAAAACTAAAACTATTAACTTAACTTACAAATTACATAATTATTACTCCGATCCGTAATTTACATGTTACAACTTACAAACTTACAAGTTCAAAAATTACAACTTACAAATTTTCAAATTGACAAACTCCCAAGGACCATATGTCATGTTACAAGTTACAAACTTACAAGTTCAGAAATTACAACAAATTTCAAAGGCAGAAGGGTCAAATAGATCCATGTACACTGTGAATTAAAATATGGTCCATTTAGGTCGTTATAGTCTCAATTATTTTTCATCTAGCATTTTTAGCAAGTTTCTAACAAGTAACCCATCTAATTTGCTTACATGGAAAAATAAAATAAAAAAAAATGCCGACATGTTATTTTTTTTCATCTAATTTGCTGTTTTTGTCACTTTTTCGATAGAAAAATTTAATTTATTTTTACATATTTCTAGATTATGTTGATTTCTTATATGACTTGAAAAATTTCAACTCCTCATCTGTTGCGAGTGTTGAGTGTGAAAACACGTAGGGGTATTCTAAGCGGAATGCATCCATACCTTTGTTACCATAAATTTGCCCTGCAAAATGTATATTTTTGTCGTGGAGGGGTACCTCATCGCCTTCAGAAATATGACCGCTTCCCTCGGAGACATATGCAGTCTCCTTTCTTTGTTGTCTATCTCTTTCTATTTCCAGTGATGCACATTATACCTCATTACGCGAAGTTCATTAGCTTTTACTTCAGTCAGATTGTAGCTGCAGCCAGTAAACGCAAGCAGGTACGCAAGCATGTTCTTTTCGTATCTACACTTAAAGGAAGTCAGTTAATTAAGTTACACCTCAAACATTAAATCAAAAGTCGTGTTAATTATTATACCTCAAATGAAGAGCAATATACAGATCATCGTTGTCCCTTAGTCTATTAACCATCTTTTTTCCAAGCTCCTCAATCTCAGGTCTGTACCGAAGAGCCTCATAAACTCACCATCCGAAACCAAAATAAAAACAAATGCCAGTGCCAATAAATGGGTTCAAAAACCACAAAAGCGGTAACATACTTATTTGACAGCCGACGGGAAAAATAAATTCACTATTTTTCTGAAAAATTCGTAGATGAAATCAACATAATCTGGAAATATGTAAAAAAAAAAAATAATAATAAAAAATTTGAATTTTTCTGCCGAAAAAAAGTGACAAAAACAGCAAGTTAGATGAAAAAGTAACATGTCAGCATTTTGTTTTTATTTTATTTTTACATGTAGCAAATTAGATGGATTACTTGTTAGAAACTTGCTAAAAATGATGGATTACTTGTTAGAAACTTGCTAAAAATGCTAGATGAAAAATAATTGAGAATATAAAAGCCTAGATAGACCATATTTTAATTCATGATGCTAGATTACAATTAATGTTAATACATTGATCTATTTGACCCTTCTGCCAATTTCAAATTATACAACTTACAAATGTAGGTCCAAATTGACAAACTCCAAAGGCCCAAATCTCCAAATTACAACTTAAAACTTATAAGGGGGTGTATTCAATCATGACTTTCGTAGAGTTTTAAAGACTTTTATGAATTTTTAAAAGTTTGGAGGTATTCAATTCAAACTTTTAGAGAGTCTTTAAAAGTCAGGCGGTATTCAATTAAGATTTTTAAAGAGTCTTTAAAAATCATGTAGTATTCGATTAAGACTTTTAAAGAGTCTTTAAAAGTCATGTGGTATTCAAAAAGTTATGAACTTTTGTAGACTTTTTAATTTTAGGACTTTTGTAGACTTTTCCTTCTCAAATATAAATAGTTGAAATCCAACCATAAACCCCAAGATTTCAAAATTTTCTTTCTTACAACTTTGAATGTTTTCTCTCTCTATTTAAACTCCATTTTCTCCTTATTTAAACTTTATAAACCTATCTAAATTCAATAAAATTATTTTTTTCTTCATTATCCTATATTTTCCTCATACCTAAACTCTACCAATTTTTCTCTCTTTCCTAAACTTTACAATCTTCCTCTAAAAATTCAAAATAATATTATTTTTACTTCATTATTGCTTGTTTATATTGATTTTTATTTTTTCTATGAATTTTTTATAACTAACTTTCTCTAATTCTCCCTAAATACATTAACAAAGCAAATATTTCATCGTCAAATTTTAGTATATGTTTCATAATATTCATATAAATACGTATATATTTTGATTTTTATTCTTTTTATGTTTATATTCGTAATATATATTTTTTATTATTTTTTTAACAACAGGTTACTACGAATAGCGAACTACTGTATGTTCGCAACAACAATTTGGGGTTGCAAACAGTAGCACATTGATGTTGTTCGTTGTCTCAAATTGCTATTGCAAATAATAGTTCTTTGCATGATGCCTAGCAATATATCAAGTATAATAATAATAATAATATATATATATATATATATATATATATATATATATATTATATTTAGGTGAAGAACTATATAATAAGAAGAATATTATGATATATTAAAAATGTTTTGTAAGAAAATTATAAATGTTAAGAATCAAAATGTTAAGAATTTCAATGACTTTTGTAGACTTTTTAAAATAAAAAGTTGATAAAAGTCAATGAATGTTATTTATATAGATTTTTATAGTCTTATAAAGTTTTAAAAAATTTTGAACCACTCTATGAAAGTCAATCAAAGTTTATTAAAATCAATCATTTAGTGTCCAAATTACAACTTAGAAAGTTCAGAAATTACAGCAAATCAACAACTCATCCCCTTCAAACTTGAATCAGTTCAATGACTCATCCCCATTACTAAGGTTCAAGTAAAACATCAGCAAGAGACAATGTGACTGGTGATCCTGTGGACTTGAAAAATTCCAAGCAATAATGCAAATCCTCATCAATAGCTAAAGTGATCATATATCCCTCTCCATCTTTGTACTGGATATAAAATTTGACAGATTCCAACGTCTTGAATCTATTTAGGATTGCTGCCTTCAAGAAATCCATAGTCGCAAAACGAGGCTGGAGCCTCACAGTATCATTGTTGAATCTGACTCTAAACACTATGCTATTCTCTTCCATTGTTGTTAGTTTTGGCTTGAGCTGCCTCATCACTCCTCCAACATACTCATTATTGTTGTCCTTCCTTTTAAGACTAGATCTTCTGCAGCAGCAGCAGCAGTTTACATTATGTTTCCCAACTTCACCTTCATCATGGTCCAGAATTGATTTTGAGGCCCAGGCAAGAGTTTGTAGGACGTAAGGAGGAATATATGTTTTATTTTCCAGAAAGAATTCACGGATCACCCATTCATTCTGGAAAAACAAACAAACAAACAGTCAATTTTCAAAATAAATCAGGAGAAGAAATTAAACTATATATATAATACCTACCTTAGCGTTTTGAGGAAGATTGTCGTCCTCCAATCTGTATTCATGCATTACCCAGTTTGTCCTTTCAGCGCTGGGTGCTCTCCCTCTGTAAAAAATCATAGTTTCCTTCATCCCAATTAGGGCTTTCCCCTTGAAAATCTCTCTGTCTTCTCCGGTGGATTCCCAGAATCCTTGTATCTGCCCCGTGGCGTACTTCATAATCATATCTCTCCGGCAGAAGAAAAATCGTTTTCTCTCACCCACATGAACACCGGATTCCGAACTGTTCAAATCTACCACTTCTATGTCTGTTGTGAAGAAGCTAGGATCCTCAATCTTTCTCCTTAAGAAGTGATTTATGAGCTCTTCGTCTGTGGGATAGAATCGATAACCCAGAGGGATTCTTATAGAATCGCCGGAATCTTTCTCTACCGGCGACGATTCCACAGAATCGTTGGAGCCACAAAAACCAGACATTTTTATTTTTATTTTTTGCCTTGAGAGCAATTTTCTACCAAACCGGGAAGAACTTGATAAACTGTATTAGATGAACATTATAATTGCACAATTGAGTGAATATATACAAAGAGTATTACCAGGACTATGTGGTCTAATGGTACCCGGGTTGGACTTCCGTTTGGAAGGTTGTGAGTCCAAGCCTCAGTGGAGGCGTTATTAGCTCTTTGTGTTTCAGTAGGTTGAGAAAGTATATGAACAGATACTACAATGTAATAGAGCTAGTAACATTCAAAAAAAAAAAATATATACAAAGAGTATTACAATTATACATTAAATATTGTAACTTCCTAATATGGTAATATTGTACTATTGACTCGATAAATTATGTTGTGGAATTGTGTCCACCTTGCAAGGTAGATATGATTCTAAAATTGTTCATAATTATGAATATATAGTTCAACAATTATGAACATATAGTTCTATAATTATGAACATAGTGTTGTGAGCATAATTATGAATTGTGAATATATAGTTATGTAATTATGAATATAGAGATTCAAAACTTATTTGGTAAGTAAATGTCAAATGGAAATTAAATAAAATCTATTAATTTGTAATATTATATATGGTATTATATTCTATAATATAATATAATTAATAATATTATTGTTCTAGTATAATAAAAATATTATTGTTCAAGTATAAAATAAAATTAAAATAACAACAACAATAATAATAATAATAATAATAATAATAATAATAATAATAATAATATTAATAATAATCCAAACAAAACTATATACAAAATAAAATAAAAAAAAAAAAAAAAAAAAAAAGAAGAAGAAGACAAAGGTGGCTCCCTTTAGTAAATGATGTGGGATCATTTTGATCCCACATTGAAAATGTTTGGAAAGAGTAGCTCTTGATCTCCTCTATATAACCATACAATTGCTTGCCCATTAATATGGGCAAGTATTGAGAAGTCCAAAAACTTTTTATAGTACTATTGAGCCGGCAAATTATGCTGTGGAACTGTGTCCACCTTGCAAGGTAGACATGGTTCAAAAATAGTTCATAATTATGAATATAATAATCAATATATAGTTCAAAAATTATGAACATATAGTTCTATAATTATGAACAGAGTGTTGCGAACATAATTATGAACACATAGTTATCTAATTATGAATATAGAGATTCAATAATTGTGAATATGAAGTTCATAAATTATGAATATATATCTTATAATTATGAACATATAATTCAGTAACTATGAACATAGAGTTCTGTAATTATGAATATAGAGTTTAATAATTATGAATATGAAGTTTAAAGATTATGAATATATAGCTTTATAATAATGAACTTATAGTTCAATATTTATGAACATAGAACTGCAAGGTGGACACGGTTCCACAACCTAAAACCCAACGTGTCAAATGGCTCTTATTTAAAAAAAAAAATGTATATGAGTTGTTTTAGTTTTTAGCAATTTCGAGCAAATTGTTAAGTTATTAAATAATATTTTTGATGTATTGATAAAATATGAAATTTTAAACAGACGAATTTCTTAAAATTTTGACGAATTTGCCAAATAATCAAATTACAATAACAACAACAACATCAACATCAACAACAACAACAACAATAATAATCCAAACAAAACTATATACAAAATAAAATTAAAATTAAAAACCAAAAAAAAAAAAAAAAAAAAAAAAAAAAAACAAAGTGGAGTCACGGGCTCCCTTTGTAAATGATTTTGAGATCATTTTTATTCCACATTGAAAATGTTTGAAAAGAGAGAGCTCATTTATATAAGATGAGCAATGATCCCCCTTACATACATTATTTCTTGCCCATCAATGTGGACAAGTATTGAGATGTCAAAAGGTTCTTATTTAAGAAATCTCAACTTTGTCTTCTTATTTTAATTTTATTTATTTATTTATTATTAATGGGGGTTGTGAAAGATTAACACAAAATGTATGTGTTGTATTAGTTTTTAGCCATTTGAAGCAAATTACTGAGTTACTATATAATTTTTTGGGGGGTTTTGATTGAAGTTAAAATGTTAAAATGACAAATTTGTTAAAATTTTGGCGAATTTATCAACAATCAAATAAAAAATATATAATATAATATAATATAATAATAATAATAGTAATCCAAACAAAACAATATACAAAATAAAATTAAAACTAAAATAAATAAGAAGACGACAAAAGGGTGCCACACGGACTCACCTTTGTAAATGATGTTGGATCATTTGATCTCACATTGAAAATGTTTAGAAAATGAGCTCTTGAACTCCTCTATATAAGAGGAGCAATGCTCCTTTTACAAACATAATTGCTTGCCCATCAAAGGTTTGCAAGACTCCATCCCTGCTTTGCGAAGAAGTTCGATCATATAGCGTTGTTGGGACAAAATGATAGTCACCATCGTAAACAACTTCAATGCCTAAAAAAAAAACGTGGCTTGCCCAAGTCCCGAATTTTGAAAGCAGTGGCTGTGCAAGTACATCATTGATCATAACAGAATTGTTAACTAACAGTAATATATCGTCCACATAGACTAAAATATATGCCCTTATTAAAAATGAACAATGAGACATCTTTTTTTGACAGATTAAACCCAATTTGCAGCAAAAAATCGTGCAGCCGTGTAAACCACGCCCGCGGGGCTTGCTTCAGCCCATACAACGACCGTTGCAACTTACAAACGTGGTTGGGTTGGTTTGGATCGGCATATCCCGGAGGTTGCCGCATGTATATGTCTTCGGTAAGATAACCATTTAGGAATGCGTTGTGCACGTCCAATTGGCGCATTACCCATTGATGTGAGACCGCTTAGGCTATAAGTAGTCGTATAGTCGCCGGTTTGACAACGGGACTATAAGTTTCATCATAGTCTTTGCCGGGGATTTAGTTAAACCCCTTGGCTACCAACCGAGCTTTGTAGCGGTCTACGGTGCCATCAGACTTGCGTTTGACCCGAAATACCCATTTACACCCGATGACGTTCATGTTATGTGTTGCCGGAACTAAACGCCAGGTTTGGTTGTGAAGAAGAGCGTTGACTTCAGCATCCATATCCGCGCGCCAATGGAGGTATTTAACCGCCTGAGAATGGCACGTGGGTTCAATATCATCGACAGACGCAACTAGAGCCGTGGGCACACATCGTTGAGCACCTGTGGTTGTCCGCATTCTCATTGTATGTGTTCGAACCAGAGGCCTCACCGGACGTCGCCTACCTGTTGTTGTCGTCGAGGTCGACGGCTGAGTGGATGAGGACGCCGCACCTGTTGAAGACGCCGATGTGGTAACCGGCTGAGCAGGAGCGACCTGGATCACCGGCTGTAGTTGAGGCACAGGAGCAGCCGGTGAGTCTGAGTTCGCCGTAGGTAACTGAAGTCGGGCATTGGCCCATGGCGTCGTGGTGGTGTCGGGCGAGTGTGTCTGAGAGCAATCACATGTTATATTAGCAAAGGGAAAAACATTCTCGTTGAAGCGAACGTGCCTTGCTAGATACACACGGCCGGAGAGTCTGTCAAGACACCTGTAACCAACAACGGAGTCCGGGTATCCCAAAAAAACACACGACAGAGAGTGGTAGTCCATTTTGTGAGTATTATAGGGTCGTAGACATGGGAAACATTCGCATCCGAAAACCCGAAGTAATTTATAGTCAGGTGATTTATTAAATAGGAGGGTATACAGACTGACATTTTGAGAAACTTGTGACGACATGCGATTAATTAAATGTACCGCTGATTCAAAAGCATAGACCCAATATTTATTAGGTACTTGACCCTGTGCCAATAGTGCTAACCCAGTTTCAACGACATGACGGTGTCGACGCTCCACACGCCCATTTTGTTCGTGTGTGTGGGGGCAGGACTGCTTATGCGATATTCCCGCAGCGGTGAAGGCCGTGTGAAGTCTACGGTATTCACCGCCCATATCGGACTGGATACACTTAATTTGACAACCGAATAATTTTTCAACATTGGTACGGAAGTTATGAAATATGAAATAAATATCCGTTTTTAATTTCATTGGATAGAACCATATGAACCTAGAGAAATCGTCAACAAATAATACAAAATATTTATGACCCTCAACGGATGGAACCGGAGACGGGCTCCATATGTCTGTGAAAATTAACTCTAAAGCTGACTTACTAGAGCGGTCAACCCGTGAAAGCGGGAATCGCGCTGATTTGCCCATTTGACAAGTAGTACATAACTTATTTAATGATGCAGAACCCAAATATGCGGGTGGCCCAGGCGATTATGCCAAGTTACTGGAGACGTAGCAGCAGATACGAAAGCAACTGGAGGTGACGTAGCGAGTGAGTACATCCCTCCTACGCTAGGATCTCTAAGCAGGATTTGGTTGGTGGTACGGTCCTTCACAAGAAAATAATAAGGGTGAAATTCGAAATAAACGTTGTTGTCACGTGTAAATTTGTGCACGGGCAACAAAGACGCACACAACTCAGGTACATGCAGAATTCTATTTAGAAACAGTGACCGGGACTAAGAGGGAATTGATAAAGAACCTGTGTGTTTAATTGACAAACTTGAACCGTCGCCGACGTTGATGTGTTGAGAGTAGATCTGCCACCTCTGGGATGGTGAGGGGAGCACTCTTGGTGGTAAGCGACGCAACTAAGGAGCGGTACTCTGGTCGAAGACCCCTAAAGATGTGAAGGTTCTGTTCGTCGAGTCCAATAGGACGGCCAGCTTGGACAAGCTGTTCGACCAAAACCTGAGCTCTACCTAAATATTTTGCCGGCGACTAGTCACCTTGCCGCAAACTTTGAAGTTGCGATAGTAAGCTAAGGGACCGCGCACGGGAGGTAGAGCCAAGCGCCGTCTCAAGCGCTACCCAGACGGATCGAGATGACGGGTGACCGATGGCAAGATACAGAACCTCCTCCGTAAGAGATGAAATCAGCATGCTTAAAATTGATTGGTCCTGTTGGACCCATGTGTCGTGGAGAGGATTCGGTGTCGAAGCCGCCGTCGACGAAGAGGCAGGAAGGAACTCCGACGGGC